ACAACAGCTGATCTATCCGCGACGGCCATCTTGTTTTCGTTTTTAAATCTAGCGCGCGATTCCGCTGACGCGCTCCACAGTTTCGCGCCTGCTGTCATGGTAACTGATCTGATGAACTTAAGCTCAGTTCCTTTGATGCATCGTGATTTATGTGATCTTGGATCACAAATCCTAATCCGGATCCTCCCAAAGGAACGCAACCTTAATTTTCAGCTCAGTGAAAAGAATATTTAATAACCAAAACGTGCGGTGATTCAATTGTACAATTGTACTAATCTTGAAAATTGAGAAAGGAAGCTACTTTCAGATGATGCGGAGTTTGACTTTGAGACCGGAGTTTCCCAGAGAGCCCTAATTTTGGGGGTAAATAAGATACTAGTATTGCGGAAAAAGAGACCACGCCCTTTTGCTCACTAAACTATTTGTACTTAAGGTCGAGGTATTTTTTTTTTAATCAGTCTGTGTACAACATCCTGACAAGCATTGACAACTACTAAGGGAAAGTCTATCTAATAGGGAAGATAAAATTACAATGAAGGTGGGTAGCTAGATCACCTTCACGCTTAAAGCTTTCCATTGTGTCATTTAGCTTCGCCTTTTTTTGTACTAGTGGTTCAGAGAAATGAGTTTCGTCTTGTGTCCGAAGTGTAGTACAAGATACTAGTTATCATCCTTTAAATATTGAAATTTTACTTGAGTTTAAGTGGCAGGTAAATTTTCTAACCGTGAAATGATGAAAACACATTTTAAACGTAGATCAAACTATTGACATAGCTTATCCATATTTCTTCGCTTCACTTAGTATTTGCACTTAAATTTAAGGAAAACGTCTGAAGTGTAGTCGGGTTTATTCTAATTTTTTTGAATGAGTTGCTTGTAAATCAACGTTATGTTTGGATCATAATTTTGCGTTTCAAATATTGTCAATGGAATGAAAAATACCCCAAAATTTCTCTTTAGAAATTGATATTAGCATATGTAGATCAAATGCGTAAAAATTTTGCATGAAAATATAATACAAATGAATTTTGACGCTGCAATTTAGCAACAACAGAAACAAATGAAAAAATTTGCTTTCATCACGGAACCTGAAATGAGAAAAAATGGCCCCGACTAACAGGAGAAGCCAGTCGTTTGCAAGTCAAACTGAAACGAAACTACTGAATTTATTATTCACTGAATTTCATGCGGCACTGAGCTCAACAGAGAACCGTGAGGCTTCACGGCTCTCGAGTTTAACATGCATGTCATACATACAGGTTGCCATGAAAGTCAATTTCGTGAATACTTATGTTCGGTAAGGAATCCAATATAACAGCCAAAATGCCTTAACATTAGTTTTGAAGAAAGAACACGAGTGTTTAGTCCTGATTTTAGTCTTGGCTATGACTTCTACTTCATGTAAGATACAACTTTTAGGTATTTAAAATAAACAAATATCTAAGAGACGTTTTTATTTTGTCGGTTTTAATCGTCCGGTCTATGTCCTTAAC